AATCACAATTTAAGTAGTAGATATAAGCCGAAAACTGTCCAATATGTAAAATATTGAATTTCATGAGGCGCGTAGCGCCGAAGGGAATTCAATATTTTACTTATTGGTCAGTTTGAGGCTTATATCTTACTTAAATTACTACTTTTACTATCAAATATCATGTTATCAATCGAAAATTTAGAAATAATGTATTTTTGTGCTAGAAATGTACAATATTAATGTTTTAGCAATTATCTTTTTCTTACTTGCAAAACCCTATAGGTAGCCTCTTGAATAACAAAATGTCCGTAGCATGAAATTTTCGTGTTTTGAAATATGACCAATTATGTACATGAACACAATGATATACACAAAATATACCAGTTACACAAAATGTTGAACTTAACACACATACAGTATACATCAATTTACATTGGGGATTTTTACAAGAAATAATAAAAATGAAATGTTTTCAAATTTGTGTTGAATCTCGGATATTTTGAATGATTGAAGAAGAATTTATACTGACCATTTAGTGTTAAAATGATATTTTTCTTACTTTACTACAACTATCAAGGATGTAAAATGTTGTGTAAGAATGCCATGAGTGTGAAATTTGGATACTAACGCAACGAAATGATATTTTCTTATTTTTGAATTGGTATATGTCATACCACAGGAGTCTGGAATAGTTTCTATATTTACGCACTTAAATATAGCCGCTTTTGTTTTAAATAGATGTTATTATTTTCTCTATTGTATTTATTTGAAAAGCTGACCATTACACTTACTTGAAAGGTTGACCTAACTGAAACATAACGTACATACAATTAAGCAAATCAAGTATGATTGTCATGTAAACGTATATTTAAAAAAAGAAAAAAAACACAAAATAACGGACAATAGACAAGAAATTAAACAATCCCATAAAAATCTTTCACTTGGAAAGCGTAAACAGTGATAAGATGTTAAGAACTTGAAAATCGAAAATCAGTAGGCTTGGAATAGTTCTTTTCGTAAAATTATACAAAATGCGTAAAGGGCGAAAAAAAGACGTTGCATCATACCTCGTGTTAATAAGATAAGAGGTTATATTTTACTTAATCGTTTTGTTTTTTTGTTTTTGATTTATTTCTTTTTCTTTTTTTATTGGGGGGGGGGGGGGGGGGGTACACAAAATCCTGTGGTTCTTTCAAGACACGGCACGCTGTCTAATATTAATGTGTTACACGATTAATATTGGACTTACACATTAATATTGGACACCTACTTGTACTGTATTCTTGTAATGAACAGTCTAGTTACATTCTGTATCAGTATAACAGTAACGGCTTTCATATGCCGATAAAATTATATGCGATTGTATGGACATATAATGAAAGTTAGAAGTTGTTATTTTGGCTAAGTATAAGAATTATGACAAAATTTAGAGTTCCGAAAAAATCGGTATATTTTACAGAAAAACTTCTTTCATTACCTCCTTTGTTATATGAAAGGCCCATAACGGCTCAGACTGCTATCTTTTTTTATTTTTCAAAAACGGGGGGGGGGGGGTTGAGGGGGAGGGGGTTGTTACAGTTTCCAAACATTTGACAAAATTATAGAAATTAATTAGCATGAATCTGGAGCATGTCACTTTAATATGATCAATTAAAATTGAAGCAGAATATATGTGAGAGAACCGTCCAATTTATAGAAAAGTCCTACATTCGATTCTTTATTTATAGCTTGTAAAGTAACTTTTATCATATCTAATCTTTAATGCAATTATAGATGTGAAATATGAGTAGAAAGAAAGCAGCAAATGATGACCGATCATGTGTAAATAGCCTAATTACCTGTATTAAATTTAGCTGATAACCTTAAAGCATCCCATTCCGCTATCCGCTCCTCATCATAAGAGACAACACGTGTACGTCCTTTGATAATAGATGGGCGTAGGCTCACGTGCCGATAACCTGCCAATCGTTTTGGTTAAGCTTCATAGGAATACAAAAAAAAACAGTTAAACACATGTTTACATATCAATTCTGTACGATCAGTCATATGATAGTATCCTGAAACTTATATCAATTATTTAATTTATAACAAGAAAGAATGAATAAGCCAATAAACAAAACGAAAAGTAAATTCGAATCCAAAGCAATAGATTATAACATTTTATAAGCAATAAATTATTACAAATGTATTACTAATCACGGAATTTAAGTTATATTAGAACAAGGCAGGTGTCTATCATTATATGGTTGATCATACTTCATGTTGCGATAAAACGACACAAAAATCTTCGGGATTACCAAATACAACTTTATATACCATCTCTTACATACGAAGCCCCTTAGGTGACATTTTCCACACTTTTTTCACAGAAATAAATTCGTTTTTTATGAAAGATTAATTATTTATTACGAAATGTATGTTCGTGTTTACGAAATATTTTTTCGTAAAAACGAAATATTAATTCGTAAAAACGAATAATTATTTCGTGAAAATTAATTCTTAACTTATATTTCGTTTTTACGAAATAAATCCTGTGATTCTGTGATTGAACAGAATCACAATAGACATGGCACAATAGCCTCTTTCTTGTCTGCTCATTAACTTGATACCTATCACATTTACTGTCTTTATATTAAGAGAGAAAAGAGGCCATTGAGAGCCTTGCCAGTAGATAACCACAATTGATTCGTGGGTCATTTGTCAAAGGTCAAAGTCGCAATGACCTTGATCCTAAAAATAATGCAGGGCCGTACAGGCGATAAAACAATCGGGGTCAAGGGGTTGAAATCCACACTCGGACATTTTTTCTCTTTCGTTTTATCTATTTTATTGGGTTTTTGAAATAAAATATCATGTTTCTATGATCGCACGGTGCCCATGCATAGGTTTTAAGGATTTTTTAGTGAAAATCTGGAGTCCAGCCCTTTTAAGTTATACTAATGTGTATAATAAAAAGACAGTAATAATATATAAATAACACATGGGTTTGTGGGTAACAGTAAAAATATCATCCCGAGGAAAATACTGTTACCCGAGGCGTAGCCGAGGGTAACAGTATTTATACGAGGGATGATATTTTTACTGTTACCCACAGACCCATGTGTTATTTATTTTATTACCCCGAACAAATACTGTGATGATCTGAATTTGTCAACTAAATCTAACTGTAACAAAAATAAACCAAGAGAAGCAATGGCTAAACTGTCCTTACCTTGAAGCTTTAAGTGTACTGTACGCTTACTTGAGAAGCTGTTTTCTTTTATAATTTAGGGAAGTGATGATATCTACCAGTCATAAACATAAAATAAGCTGTGTTTTATTTAATAAAACGAAACACTAACCCATTTATAAGGTTATGATCTGTGAAATCTGATCCTTCTGTATCCAGAATATTATATGCATGGTTTTTGACAAAGTGCATTTAGAAAAAAACGATGATAGCCTACAGATGTCTGTTCACCAACTCTATCTGTAACGTTTCGCTGGTTAAAATTGTTAAACAATCCTTTGTTGCATGCTTTAATCGGCTGCATGTTCCAGTTTGACACAAAATTAATCACATTACAATTACTTCCGTTGAAAACGGATGTTTTCTTTTGACTATTCAACAAAAAGATATTTTATACGCGAAAGGAACTCTACGGTGCAGCGAACTAAATTTTATGAGAGTAATAGTTACTTCGGCGATGCCCTATCGTCGAAAATAAGATTGAATCGAGAAAAAAATGGCGGCCATTTTATTTCATTTCATTTAGAAAATAAACCACGTGACCAGATGTTATACTTTTAAAAAATACTGTTACCTATTTAACAGTACAAAATTATGAGTGACGTGGTACACTTGCAATAACAGTAAGAATAACACCCAGAGGCCTATGGGAAATTAACATTACGAAAAAAGTGAGGGGTAATAATATAGCCTGTTTCTTTTTTAAAGAAACATATCAGAAAAGATTAATTGTTGTCAAAAATCTAAATATTTTGATTTTTTGCCAGCTGTTGGAAATATGTAATTGAAGAAGGGGAAAAAGAGGATATCTTGGATTGAGAATGACTTCTAACTCAAATACCCTTTTCACTTAAATACATGACATGACTGTATAACAATAATTAGGCTTATAATCGTTAAATTTTGTGGAAAGTTTGATACAGGCTTGTTAACGACCCCTTTTGATCGTGGGTTAATAGGTTTCTTTGTCAAGTTCACAATGCCCTTCAATATTTCGTTATTACGAATTAATATTTCTTAAAAAAACGAATTATATATAAATCGTAAAAACGAATTAATACTTCGTAATTACGAATCAATATTTCGTAAAAATGAATTATTATTTTTATAAAAATGAATTATTATTTTTATAAAAACGAATTATTATTTCGTAAAAACGGATTAATAGTTTGTAATAATATTACGAATTGATATTTCGAAGCAAAAAAAACACAAATTATTTTTTCGTGAAAAACATAATATTTCGTAAAAAAAAACGAATTAATATTTCGTTAAAACGAGGAAAAAAATCCTTGGGAAAAATGAGAATTATGTCACCTTAGGGGTTCCATTTTTACAATCACGTATTTACGCAAATAAAAGACTTATCTTAATATCAGATGTCGGAAGTCGGCATATTTAAACCATATCAGCTGCCAAATAAAAACATCGTCTGTAGATTTTAGTGAACGTTGTTACCTCGTTAGAATTTAAACTTGAAGTTATTTATTAAACTTGCAAGATATTATGTACGGAATTCACGTGGCAGGATTAAAGGTGTAAATTTTCAAACCAGTTTTATTCAATTTTAGACAAGTGTTGAGACCGCCATGCATTGATAGCCCGCAAAATTAAAACATTTTATTTCTTAAAAGAGAATAAATCCACTTAATTAGCAAAGCAATTGATCTACGTTTTGATTCTCAAAAGAAATGTATTCATGTTCTGTGACAAACATGTTGTGATTCAAGTGATTGACTTATTGTATATATGTGGTTATAAATATCGACAATTATATAATATATTATTTTAGTTCTGTTCCTGTGGTATATGGGTCCGCACACTTTGGCGCCGGAACACTACTAATACATTTGGACGATGTAAATTGTACAGGCTCTGAATTAAGCATATTTGATTGTCCGCATAGTGATTGGGGATCAAATAATTGTGGTCATGGTGAAGATGTCGGCATATATTGTGCTCCAGGTAATCTTTCAAATAATTATAGTTTATATGAAATATGATTTAAGAATAACACATTTGATTATATGAATAGCCATGTCTGTAAAAGAAAAAAACATATAAACCGATTTTTCTGAAGATATTCACTTAACAACACTGGAAATTTAAATATAAAAGAAGAACAAATAAGACTGTTAAGCATAATAGGATAAATTTGTAATCAAAATTAAAACAGGAAAAATCCTGGCCCTCTAATGCTTTTCATTATAAAATTTCACAAGTTCGCTTGTCCGCTCTTAGAGGCATGGCTAAATTTTTGACCAGTTATATAATTATCATTTTTTTGTAAAATTCCCCTTCATTAACTGTGTGAATATGTGAAAAGGTTGTAAATCGCGCAACACATTATTGTATATGAATTATATCAATTTAAAAGCTAAATTTAGAAAGTGTTGATGATTTGCACAAATGGTTTAATTTATCTGTGCAAAGTTTCATAACAATATGCTTCTTTTCGTGAAAATGAAATATTACAAACACTTTCGCGAAGTCGATTCATGTTTGTTTAGTGGCGGGGAACAAATTACATATCAACTTTCGGTTTTGGTTCAATCGGTTTAAACACTGTGATACTGCATTTTTCATATTATAGTAGCAGTCTATTTAAAAGTTCACCACTGTTATGTCTTCAAATTCGGCAAAACGCAGAATAGCTCGCTTTCATATATAACCTTTAGGAAAAGACTATGATTTTATAAATACCAATATCACATAAATACGGTGGCACAAAGGTGACATGTGTGTGATTTTATTTATTTCGCGCGCACGAGATACTATGTTGTGGCAACGAGTTACTTAGAAGTGGCCACGAAATAGTTTAGTCATGCGCACGAGATAAATAACATCAGATTACACTATTAATATGAATTTTCCTAACTAATTAGACATGTGCTATAGTAAAAGGATGCCCCTACTTCACCTTTCTGTAAAAGTGCCATTTATACGAGTTACTGTTTGGTCAACGATTTTACATTTAGCGTCATTGTGACCCTGATTATTCACCCAATGGCAGGTGTCATCTACTGATTAGGTGCAATGATCTTTCTAGGTTATAAAAACATGGCTTATTCCTTCTTAATAATTTATCAGACAAGGATTTTACATGAAATGTCATGTTTGCCTTGACCCTTGAACTCAAACATCCTTATAGGCTATCTTCTGTCCATGGGCAATGTCCCAACCAAATAAAATCAAGTAGGACAAATTCCTTCTCAAGTTATTGTATAAACAAGGTTAACAGGCTGTTGTACGAATAAACTGACTTATATTATAGAATTGTCCCAACAAAGGGCTATAACATAGTCAAATTTAATGTCTGATTTATGGGCCTTAGAAGGTGACTTTCTTATATGATCCTAAAGACATGTATCAAGTTTAATTAAAGTGAACGCTTCAGTATTTTAATAGATTAATGTTGCATTAACCATAACATAATTTCTTAAGTTTAAAAGATTCATGGTGTAATCTGATTGGTTTATTATTTTGTATGCACGACTTAGTTATCTCGTGACCACGACTTAGTAACTCGTGGCCACGACATAGTATCTCGTTCGCACGACTTAACCTTATCGTGCTTACGACTTAGTGACTCGTTGCCAAGACATAGTACCTCGTTCCAACGACTGAACTATCTCGTGCCCACGACTTAGTAACTCGTGGTCACGACAAAGTGTCTCGTGGCCACGACATAGTATCTTGTTTACACGACTTTACTATCTCGTTTACACGACTTAACTATCTCGTTGTCACGACTTAGTAACTCGTGGTCATGACATAGTATCTCGTTCCTACGACTTAACTATCTCGTGCCCACGACTAAGAAACTCGTGGCCACGACATAGTATCTCGTTCCATCGACTGAACTTTCTCGTGGCCTCAACTAAGTAACTCGTGGCTACGACATTGTATCTCGTGGCCACGACTTAATTTCCTCGTGGCCACGACTTAGTAACTCGTGGCTACGACATAGTATCTCGTTCCCACGACTTAAATATTTCGTGCCCACGACTTTGTAACTCGTGGCCACGACTTAGTAACTCGTGGGCACGACACGACATAGTATCTCGTGCGCACGAGATAAATAAAAACACAAACACATGTCACCTTTGTGCCACCGTATATAAAGCACTGAATGTTAAACTTAACTAGAAGTAAACTGAAGTTTTGTTTATGTATATTTGGATTCAATCCGTTTCAACTCTAAGGCACCGTATTTTTTGTTAATAACCACTGTTTTGTCTACAAAGTCGACAAAATTAAAATACAGAATACCTCACTTTTTATACATATTTCTCAGAGAAAGAGCAATGTCCCTTAAAGCACTGAAATAACAAAATATTGTTAAAGCTTAATATTTTTTCTATTTCTTGCAAATCCTTGTATGCAATACAATAATTGTCTACTTTAATCAATCCCCTACCGGTTTAAGCGGAGGGGACTTTAGGTTCACCCTCCGTCCTCAGTCCGTCAGTCCGTCCACAAAACTGAATTCCGTTATAACGCAAAAAGTACTGAAAATAATTATTTGAAACATGATATATGGATAGATGGAAATCTGGAGATTATGCACATTTTTTTCCTTTCATTTCTATGTTCAAAACTTTGGTTGCTACGGCAAAAATATATACTGAAAAAATGGCAAATAAAACATATGAACTGGATCCAGTGATAACGCAAAAAGAACTGAAAGGATAAGCATTTTTATGGAACATGAAATATGGGTAGCTGGCAGTCTGGAGATTGTGCACGTTCTTTTTCTTCTCTTCCAATGATGACAAATGTGGTTGCTATGGCAACAAATAGGCTTTAAATATAGCAAAAATAACCAAAACTTGTGATTTTTAAAAAGTGTACTAAAATATTTTTATGAAACTTATTAGGATATTATGGATATTATACACATCATTTTATTCTTGACTATAAGGAGTATATTGAGAGCTCTCCTACCCACCAAGCGTCGGTGACCTTGTCAAGATTTCTGATTCAATTTTTTTACGCTTATTCACTTTTAGTCCTTTATTCTTCAAATTTCAAATATGTTCTACTGATAATCAACAACTCTAGCACTAAAAAAATATCAGAATTACCCCCTCCCCCCACCCCATGAAGAATTGTATTGAAAAAAAAAAGTTGTTTATTTTTATAACTTATATTTTCCTTAAAGTGTCTTATTCAAACTTCAAACTTCATATATATGTTTCTTGTTATCACTCAAATCATTTGTGAGAAGGTTCAATAATATCGTTAGGTTATTTCCAGAATTATGTCCCACATTGGACTCCCATTCAAACTCCCACATCATAATAATTTGACAATTGTTATAAATCTAGCGTCCATATTTCAATAATTATCTCTTCCTTAAACTTCGATTTTTTATTCATCCTTGATTTTTCTTATTTCTACATTGATTTATTTCAAATTTCAAATATACATTCATTATCAACACCTGCATCATATGTGATTAGATTTATAAGTCATGGGTTACCATGATTATTTTCATCTTGAACTTGATTTTTTAATGTTCTTCTGTATTACTGTAAATGGTATATTTGAAAATTGTTATTTTTTCACTATTCTTCCTTGTGACTATAAATGGTATATTCTTAAAACTTAAGAGACCATTGCTCATTGTTACACTCACACTATGTATGACAATGTTCATAAGTCTAGCATCTTTATTTCAAGAGTTATCTCCTCTTTAGTTTGCTTTTTAAAATATTTTATTCTTGTAACAACAAGGTTGTTTAAAGATTAATTCAAAAATTTTGCCATTAAGTCCGATAGTCCGAATAGTATCCAGCTTTGCCGAAATATAATGATACATTGATTCTTATTGATACATCTATGCATCTAAGATTAGTTTTAAGTATTTATTACATTTACCCAAAACTTATTCTTATTGAAATTATTTAAATCTTAGACTATGGATTCATTTGCTTTTCTAATTAAGGACCTTTAAAGATATACTATGCTCTTTGATATCAGAAAATATTGATAATTGCTACACAGTCTCTTTGTAAATATGAAATAAACATGTTTTGACTTCACACAAAGTTGATATGTCATGTTTAAACTCTACACACTATAGGTCGTCACAATATGAATATATAGTGTCGTTAAAAAAACTGGCAGTTTTTTTAAGAAAAGACCAACTTTACTTGTCCTATAATAGAGAACGTGACTTCCAATGCATAGTTTATTCATTTTTTATTCAAATTAGACATATTCAGTAAGAATTTCATAGGTTTTAATAAATTTCTTCGATTAAAATATTTTACTTAAAGATGAGTATATCTTTAAGCAACGATAAACGAAAACTAAAACATTTTATTTATTTCCTAACATCTTATTTGTTTTTTTAACATCTGATTTTATCACTCATACTTTATTCAATTAAATGATATAAAGAAATGTAACATGCTTATGCCTCAACTTTAAGATGCGTATGATTTTACTCCCTCTTCCCCGCACACAAACAATCAAATCAAACAACAACAATAGCCATTAGGTTTGAGTTGTTATCACACTAACGGTGAAAGACATCCGGGATTTTGCGACAAAAGGAAACCTTATGGTATTACAACAGCATCATTAACCAAATGGGTAATAAAACATCGATCTATATAGCGAACAGCGGCGAATACGTTGAAAACATTTCAGTATGTTTTTGACGTCAACGCTTATAAAGTTGTGACCGCACGTGCATTACTATGCTTGCTTTAATATGCATGTGGTGAGCATAACATTTTTAATTGTTATGTTTCTGTTTTCCTTGTAAAGGGGATATATTACGCAATAAAATAATGTTATATATGAACATTTTATATATATTTTTTTATGTATTGCTTAATTTCGGGGTATTTCTGGATCATCCCTCGTATGCACTTCATTTTGATTTTATCATTTTTCGTTCATTCAAAGAAACCTGGTCCTTCTGTCTGTGCCTCTGGCATATCGTCTGTACAACAGACCTGGATCCTGTCCATGTTCAGATGTATACTTGCTAGGGTGGAGAAGAGCAATTTCTGTGACAAGCTCTTGTTTTAAATGCATCAAATTCCTAAATGAGAAACTGTTTTTATTTTTATTTTATAATTTAAATAATTTTATGACATACTTACTGTGGCACAGAGTTGACATTTGTGCATTTTTATTTATTTCGAGCGCACGAAATACTATGTTGTGGCCACGAGTTACTAAGTCATGGCCACAATATAATAAAGTTGTGTGCACGAGATACTATGTCGTGGCCACGAGTTACTAAGTCGTGCGCACGAGATAATTAAGTGGTGCGCAAGAGATACTAAGTCGTGGCCACGACTTACTAAGTCGTGCGCACCACTCAATTATCTCGTGCGCACGACATTGATACTTGTGGCCACGACATAGTATCTCGTGCGTACGAGATGAATAAAAACACCAACATGTCATCTTTGTGCCACCGTACTTACTGGCTACAGGAAATTCAATAAGTATATGCAATACTACTCAGGCGCAAAGTATCAAATATATATTAAGCATTAATGTTTTAAAATGTTTATTTTGTTCTTTAAAGTTCGATTGGTTGACGGGTTAAGTCAATACGAAGGTAGACTGGAAGTATGGCATGAAAACACTTGGGGGACAGTTTGTGATGATAATTTTGGAACGCAATCAGCAAAGGTGGTTTGTAAGATGCTAAATTATCCATAGTAAGTAAAAACTATTTTCTGGAAACAACATTATCTCTCATTACTTTTTCTCAAGTTTGAATGTGTTGTTATCGCGTCGACCGTGAATCGTCGGCATATCGAAGTAAATACGTTAGCAGAACTTCATGTATTGGAGCCAGGGTTGATATTTTATGTTATTACCCCTCACTTTTTTCGTAATGTTAATTTCCCATAGGCCTCTGGGAGTAATTTTTACTGTTGATGCAATTGTACCACGTGACTAAGAATGTTGTACTGTTACATAGGTAACAGTATTTTTAACAGTATAAAATCTGGTCACGTGGTCTATTTTGTAAATAAAATGGCCGCCATTTTTTTCTCGATTCATTCTCGGACATCAAATCTTCTCTGGAATAACTATGACACCCATAAAATTTAGTTGTTTGCACCCTGGTGTGCTTTTCGTGTATAAAATATCTTTTTGTTGAAAAGTCAAAAAGTAAACATCCGTTTTCAACGGAAGTAATTGCAATGTAAATAATTATGTGTCAAACTGGAACATGCAGACGATTTAAGCATGCATCAAAGGATTATTTAACAATTTTTATCAGTCAATCGTTACAGATATGGTGGACATACATAGGATATCATCGTTCTTTTGTCAAAAACCATGCGAAGAATATTCTGGAAACAGAAGGATCAGATTTCACAGATCATAACCGTATAAATGGATTAGTGTTTTGTTTTCAAAATAAAACACAGCTTATTGTATGTTTATGACTATTAGATATCATCACTTGCTTAAAGACTAAAAGGAAAAAGAAAACTTCTCAAGTAGGCCTAAAGTACACTTAAAACTTTAAAGGTAAGGACAGTTTAGTTATTGTTACTCTTGGTTTATTTTTGTCACAGTTAAATTTAGTTGACAATTTTATATCATCACAGTATTTTGTTCGGGATAATAAAATAAATAACACATGGGTTTGTGAGTAACAGTAAAAATACCATCCCTCGTAAAATACAACTCGGGTTACAGTATTTTCCTCGGGATGATATTTTTACTGTTACCCACAAACCCATGTGTTATTTATATATTTTTTGTCAGTGTTGATCTTTTATCGAGACAGTCGCAAGAATTACTTACAGTCGAGCGTCCGGAAAAAGACAGATAACTGTAGTAATTCAGCGGGCATGACTTTAATTCCGGCTTTAAAGTCGTGCTTCCATAAATTAACAGATTTTACGAAACTTTATTTTGAAAACGATATTTGCCGCCGAAGCGATTAAAGTTCACAATATCGTTTTCCGGTCCAATTTATTTGAATAAATAAAATCAAAAACATATACATTTGTGTTCTTAAAATACACCATAGGGAACGTGTTACAGTATCGCGTTTACCGGTTACAGTATAGAATTTTCCAGATGTAGGATTATTCATGGGAAGAAAGGTAGGTGATTTTTATTCAGGTCCATACTACAAAGTAGTTTAGTTTCTAAAAGATGTTTTTGTGCTTTGCTTGTAAGCAACAGGATCCGGTATTTACTCATATATTTCTTCAGACCCTGCACCGCAGATTTATCTCTATATTATCTCATAAATCTGCAGATTATACAGTTGGAAAATTTTAATCGAGAGACCAACGCATTTTTCTCCCATTCCAACATTATCTAAGCATGCCTAGAAAAAGTAAATCTACAAAACGTTAGTCCTTTGTGTTAAGAAACGTTTATTTAAGTAAACGACCAGTTTAACCTATTTTCCTGTTCGTCAAATGCGTTTGAAAAAATAAACAATGTTACAGTATACAGCGAGGTAAGTTTTGCTAAGTTACAGTATAGACCGAGCGGCTTTGGTCCAGTTTTGTTACAGTATATACCAATATTTCGGTTACAGTTTAGATACTTGCCAAATTTCAAACAAAGTTCGTGTATCCATTATCATTATGAAATAAACCATTCTGTTCCAATTAATATATTCTTAAAAGGTTGTATCACATTTTTTTCTATAGCAGAAAAGTTATAGTTTGCTATTTACCTTACTTTAAGTACTTATATTCAAATTGAGACTTTTTGCAGAATTAGTTATGTCCTAAGAACAACAACAGTAACGTTTATCAAATTGTATGGAGGGTAGAAAGGTTATTGCATCATTCCATCACACATTATAGTAATGCCTATAAGTAATAAAATAGAGAAAAAACAGAATCCTCAACAGGAGTCCAACACGGAAAACATGAAAATGTTACAGGCTCAATTTGATTGAGCCAGTTCATGGCTGCAAGCTATCGTCCACGACTCCCAGCACCGGCTTAAGCAGAATTCACATTAACATGAATTGGTAAACTTTAGGCTTTTTAACATATGTGGATGTGTTCGTATGACGGTTATCATGGAACCTTCAATGTGACACGTTGTTGCAATTCCATGAAAAGCGGCATATTACACCCAGGCTAAAATTGCGTGTGCCCTAAACGAGAATACAATGGGTGAAACTAAATAAAATGGAGTTTGAAAGGGGATCGGAGGTTATAAAGTATGCATACCACAGATAAGCTGTCAAAAGACACAATTAAAAAAACAGGCGACTAACGGTGATTAAAAAGTATTCAAGTGAGAAATACTGCAACCTTAAAACTTATTTTAAGTTGGAATTTCCATCTACAATATTGTATTTTGTAAGTATTTAAAAAGGGTTTGTTATTTTTGGTTTTCTTGAATTTAAAGTTTCGCAGACACTGAGGTCATGTGAAAATATTCCGTCTTCAGTGTAAAAGAAAGACCCCAGACACGATCGGGCACATGACTAGAACTACCGATCTTCCGTAAACTAGTTTGAGAGATTCATCGCACACCAGGATATTGTAATTGTCTGACCTTAATTTTTTACTCTATATCTTTCAATATTTTAATAGTCTTCACTTCAACAAAGAAGCATTCGAAATGACGCAAGGGGCGTGATTTGATTTGAATGCTTTTTGGTTTGAGTCGAGAAGGATTTTTAAACATTGCCCTTTTAAAATCTATATTTTGGGTTTTTGTATCCCAGATTGCAACCGAAACCATTTGAACAACGTTTGTAGAAATTCATGTAAATTTCATCAAATTTAGTCAAGAAGTTACTGAGCGGATGAGATTGGACAAACATGTGTACGACAGACGGACGAATAGCCATCAGACCAATAAGCTCACCAGTTGAGTTTCTAAAGATTTAAAAGTCTATGTATCATTCATACATTTTACCTAGTATATATATAGAAAATATCGACATCTAAGCTGTAACCGAAATCTGGGTATATACTGTAACAAAATCGGATAAAAGTCGCTAGGTCTATGCTGTAACCCTGCAAAATTCACCTAGCTCTAAACTGTAACATTGTTTATTTTTCAAATGCATTTAACGAACAGGAAAATAGGTTCAACTGGTCATATACTTTTATAAACGTTTCTAAATACATAGGACTAACGTTTCAAATTTTCGAACTGTCTAATCTCCATATTTATGAGCCAATATAGAGATAAATCTGCGTGGCAGGGTCTGAGGAAACATATGACTAGATATCGGATCCTGTTCCGAATGAGCGAAGCACAAAACTTTTTTTAGAAACTAAACTACTTGTAGTATGGACCGGAATAAAAATCACCTACCTGTCTTCCCCACAAACAATCCTCCATCTTGAAAATTCTATACTGTAATTTGAAAGCGCCATACTGTAACACGTTCCCTACGGTGAAATAATCTGCAGCATAAGAGAAATTTGTATTCATTTTACAGCACATGAAAAAGTGTTATTTCCCAACACGGCTTCGTTTACATCAAAAACTTCCAAAACACGCTATAATACAATTCATAGAACTGACGCTTCGATGTTCTCATCTATTTGCGGAAATGGTGAGAAGTACATGACTGATAGGGATAACACTACTTAATAACTCGAAAGAGTGGCGCAGACCCTTTTCCAGCAGATTTTCTGCAGTATACATTTCAAGTTAGTCAGGTTTAAAAAAAGAATCAATCGGTTATTAACTGTAAGTTGCTGGAGTGTTGGCGGTGTAAAAACACACAAAAAACGTTGACAGGTGCAGAGTTTAAAGTGTGGGGCATAAAAAACCCATAAAACTTTCTGATCAATTTTCACTTGAATTGATTCAATATTGAATAAGCTTCGCAGATACGTATTTCTTTTTTTTTTTCAAAAAAATATTTAGCTTAATAAAAATTTGAAGCCTCAAAGTCAGCGAGGAGTAATGGCAATACAATTCAAATGGGAGTGATTTTTTTTTAAAATAAATATAGTTTCCGTGACATTCTTCGAGAGAAGACACCTTTCTGTCCGTATAGCAAGAATATTGATCACAAACCAGTATTTTTATCTATCGAAATAATGCTATATGTAAATGATATGTTTATGTGGCATAACTTGCAGTTGTTATTATCATTCAATGATAAATGACATAAAGTATTTATTCTGGCATGATGAACAGTCCTAGAATATTGTGATAAGGATCAAAATGGTATTGTGATCTTATATTAAACTGTCGTCATACCTTGGATGATGAACATATTGGTATTTCATTTAATATTGACAGTTTAGGTCTCCCAAATTTGCATGATTAACATTTCGAATGTATTTATGAAAAAAAATGAAATGTTGACAAACTGATAAGTCCACCATACAGTTACGATAAATAGGGCAGTTGACGGATTTTCTAATTATGGTATTTAAAATTGCAGCATATTTAAAGCAAAAAGAAAAGAAACAATGAGTCTGAATCATTCAGTCTATAGTTCTTACCATTACCTCCCTATCAGTACATTCAGTGCTTTGATAAATGAAAGGGGTCAAAGACTACCTTTTAGGAATGTACTTATCCGCAGGTTGGGTAGTGTGTATGTACAAAAATCAATCGTTAACAATTCCATACAAATAGCCTCAAATGATGATTTTATTTGTTATAAAAATTGCATAAAAATAGTTATACATATAAACATGAACCCTCAAATGTCACAGTATTATTAACTTATTCAAACTCTCACTCA